TCCTCTCCTCCCCTTCTCATCTCTCCCTCCCCTCTCTCTCCTCTCAGCCCCTCCCTCCCCCCCCCTCCCTCTCTCTCGCCCCCTCTCCTCCCTCCCTCTCCCTCTCCGCATCCCCTCGTCTCTCCCCTCCTCCCCTCTCCCTCCCTCTCCTCTCTCCTCTCTCTCTCTCTCCATCCCCCCCTCTCTCTCCTCCCTCTCCTCTCTCTCGCTTCTCTCCTCCCTCTCCCTCCTCTCTCCTCCTCCTCCCTCTCTCCCCCCTCTCTCTCTCCCCCCTCCTCCCTCTCCTGCTCTCCCCCCCTCCCTCTCTCTCTCCCCCCCTCCCTCTTCTCCTCTCCCCCCCTCCTCTCTCTCTCCCCCCCTCCCTCATCTCCCCCCTCTCCCCCCCTCTCCACCCTCCCCTCCCCCCTCCCTCTCTCTCCCCCCCTCCTCTCTCCCCCCCCCTCTCCCCCCCTCTCCCCCCTCCCCCCCTCCCCCCTTTCCCTGCATCAATGTACTATACCGATACAGAATAGTGATTACAGATAAATAGTATTCTTAAAAATTAGTGCTGTGAAATAGTGTTATAAAATATTACGTTTGTCTTGTGAAACTTCTTGTAATTTGATTTTTGGTTCAGTCTTTAAAGGGACGTTTTTAATGTGATCTACAAAGTTCCTGTTCACGCAAAGGCGCAGTAAAACACCATAAATATACTCAATGGAGTACACATGAGAAATTACATAATCTATACCTTAAATATACACATGCGTGAGCAGCCGCGTCGAACAGCCTGATTGACCAGGCTGGTGGCCATTGGTGGCTGTTTATCCTCAGAATCTTCAAAAGGTAACCTAATCGGCACGGCTTTATAGTAATATGTCCAATAGGACAATAATAGTCCCATTGGTGAGAGAGAGAGAGAGAGAGAGAGAGAGAGAGAGAGAGAGAGAGAGAGAGAGAGAGAGAGACTGAGAGAGAGAGAGAGAGAGACTGAGAGAGAGAGAGAGAGAGAGACTGAGAGAGAGAGAGAGAGAGAGAGATGGAGAGAGAGAGAGAGGAGAGAGAGAGAGAGAGAGACGGAGGAGAGAGATGGAGGAGAGAGAGAGAGAGAGAGAGAGAGAGAGACTGAGACTGAGACTGAATGGAGACATAAGCACAGAGAACAGTAGGATGTGAGAACCACTCACGATTTTTCAATTTTTTACGAGTAAACACAAAAGCTATCGCCAGAACAAATGTTGTAGGTTTCAAGAGAGAATTGAATTATTTTAGGAAGTGCCGGATCGGCCAGTTTGCGGTGGTTGTGGGGAATATTTACTCAAAACAAATGTAGGCCTATACAGATATTTACAATACCTGACTGGACTAAACAAATAAACGCACAGCCGTACCAAATAATGTGTTGGGGGGGGGGGGGATAAATTAAGTAAAAATACATATACCCGAACTATAAGATAAGAATTAATAAGACGTACATGGACTAAATGTGTCTTACTGTTACTATATATAACAATTAGTGTGGTTGCGTGCTTGTTGGCTGAGTGCCGGCTGTGGCGAGCCTTGTGGTTGTGTGTTGTGGTGACGAGTACACTCACTCTGCACTTGACGGGTCACCCATTATTCCATGTCAGGATGGTGAGCAACCACCTGTCTCAGACGTATACTTGCTAGTCGCTGCTTAGTAATTAGCTTGGTGATTGATCAAACTTTTAATGGAAATTGCATACAAGCTGATTTTTTTTTGTAACTGTTGCTTGGATTGTATAAGGATTATGAGGGTGGGTGTTTATAGCGAGGTTGGTATGCGGTGTTGTCAAGGGTTGAGGGCGATTGTTCTGGCGCTATCACCGGCGCGACCTTGTCACGCTGTATATCTAAACAGTGGCGGCACTTTACGGTATCTGGCATCTTGTTACCGATTGCCTTCTTACTGAGTTTGGTTGTTATGTGATTGTTTTTGCTTGTATCGCTACATAGTAAGGAAATATTTTTAGGCAGTGCATTTTGTGTAGCCCTGTTCCAAGGCTGTGGTTGAGTGTGTAAGTTGCAGCCCAAAGTGTTTTTCTACTGTATAATTTTGAAGGAGCTTCATTTAGCTTTGGATACTTGTCTAGCCTAAGGCCTTCCTTGCCTAGTATTGGAGTCTGATTAGGCTTGGTGGGGAGTTTTCTTCTGTAATTTAATTTAAGAAGAGAATGTAAAAACTATTAAAGAATACTGCTCTTCTTTTCCAGGAGCCTCACGTTTGTCAGGTTCTTGGCTCGTTGACGTTAGTGCAGCCAATTTTTGACTTGCCTGCATTGCACAGAGTAATAAAATAGACATTTTTACCCTGACAATTTTTCATTCTGTCACAGTTATGGTAAATTATGACGGGTCATTTTTTTTTTATTTTTAAGGGCCAAGTCAGGATCAGGTACTAAGATAACTAAAACTCTGATATGCCATTAGTGTTGGGTTCGTAAAGGTTCCTGTCCAGCCATCAACCTTCATTCACATTCTACTTGTGGGGGTGAAACAGACACACTTTGTTTGGGTGCGCTACTACAGTATATTAAAGTTATTCTCTGTCATACAGGGAACATGCAATTGAATTCTATAGTACAATTAGGGTAAACCATTTAGTATAATGATTATATAAATTATTTTTATACATAAGCTATTTTGTGAATATTTTGTTAGTCAATGATGTGGAGCAGCATAATTTGTTGAGCACTTGTGCTAAATGGTTGTAAGGTTGCTCATAATGGTTTGAAGTACTGTCAAGTATAGTATTTCTGTTAAGTTGACAATTAGTAATACAGTTTATATGTAGTTTGTAACTAGGCGGTCAGTGCCTGGTGATTGTTCAGATCATCACACTGGCTGCCTGGCCAGTCAGAATTGATGGTCCAAGGCCTCAAGATCGTATTCAAATTTAAATTGCTTATTAGCTTTATTAACAAAAGGGCATATCTGGAGTATACCTAGAGTGAATTCTGGGAGTTGTACTCCACAAGTCCAGCCTGAGGCCAGGCTTAACTTGGATAACTTGGCCCAACTGGTAGTTGCGCGGAGCGGTTCACGGGCCAACATATTAACTACAAAATAGTTGGTCTGGTAGTTTTTGTAGGAATGTGTAATTTTTTCTTGAACACATCTACATTTGTATTGGTAATACAGTATTTCTTTTGCTTTGAATGGCTATGGACTTCTGATGTTCAGTGTCCTCTGACTGTGCCTATGGTATCTCTACTCTTCACTGGGTCCATTCTGTATTTCCTGTCACATAGTTAACTCCTGTATGTATTTTACTGTGCAAATTTGGGACCCGGCCTTCCAGTATCTTTTATGTACATATTGTGATACCTTGCATCTCACTTGTAGAGAGTACATTTTGAGTTTTGAGATGGTCCAGTAATTTGTGCTGTAAATGTTCTCTGTAGTTCCCCTTATTTTGGAAATCTCTCATACTTTGAAAGGGGAAAGTGAGTACCATACAGTACTCACGGCAGAACAGACACAAGTACTAACGTATTAATCTAACATAGTACTATACTATCCTAGTAACTATATATGAAAAGGATCTGAGAATAATGTTAGACATCCTAGCATTTAGGGAGAAAATGGCAATGTCTTCTTATGAGAACCTTCAAATACAGGGATTTTTGAGCTTATTTGGTTCTATTCAAATGTAAATTTGATAGAGCCAGTTAGGCTCAAGAATCTGTACACCAGTTGATTGGCAGTTGAGAGACGGGACCAAAGAGTCAAAGCTCAATCCCCACAAGCACAACTTGGTACCTGCTTGATGGGGTTCTGGGAGTTCTTCTACTCCCCGAGGCCAGGCTTGACTTGAGAGCTTGGTCCACAAGCCTGTTGCTTGGAGCGGCCCGCAAGCCCACATACCCACCACAGCCCGGTTGGTCTGGAATTTCTTTTTATAAAAGTACAGTAGTAAAGTAGAAATGGATTTGGTAAAGTAGAAAAGTACAAAAGTAAAGTAAAGTTTTAGAAAAGTTTAATGAGTACAAGTGATATTAACAGGAGCAGCAGTGTTGGAATGTTTGGATTTGAAAGTTCTCGTAAGACGTGCAGTCATTTGCTCCCTAAATGTTAGGTCGTCTGACATTATTCACGGATCCTTTACATATATAGTTACTAGGATAGTATATTACTATTTTAGATTAGTACAAAGGATTCCTGCAAGAGCTGGCAGATTAACTTCCTCCAGCTCACAGTCGTGTGAAGTGAGCAGATATAATCCTGTGTTATCCTTGTTTACCTTGTGATAGTTCCAGGGATTAGTGCCCTCCAAAACAATGTCTCTGACTTGGCCTTTTGGTTGATCTAATGCCACTTTCGAGGTTTTGGTCGAGTTCCTCTTAAACACAATAAGAGTTCTATTATTAAACTACCTATATATTTATATAGATAAGGTTTTAAAAAGCCTTGGCTAACCACGCAAGGTAGCCTACATAACTATCTTGAGTTGGTTCCGTAGAATATTATCTCCACATCGCGGTCACGACCTGTTGACATTGAAAAGTCTATTGGTAACTAAAGCTCACTCTTGGCATAGGAACCAAAGCCCGACTATTCACTTACTCATTGAAGAACTGTACTGTACCTGTGTAGCAAGATGTGTACACCTCATGGACATGACTTCATTCCAGAAATGAGACTGCTATATTACTTCATACTAGATTTTTGTGTTTGTATTACTATATTAACTATTCTCCCTGGTGGCTCTCACGAGTACAAAGACTCATGTGAAGTTCCTCCTCAAGGTCATATAAAAGTTAACCACAAGCTCAATCATAGGAACAATGGACAGTGTTATACTGGTGCTTTTGGGAAATATAAATCTTGACATTTTTTGTATTATATATCATATCCCTGAATTTAAACATTGAGTATTTCAGTCGGTATATAATATACACTGTATATGTTTTCATAATTTTTTTATGTAAAAGTGTTAAATAAATTCTTTTATGTTCAGCTTTTTGGAATGTGTTAATAATGCTGCTGTTTTCTTGCAGGAAAGTGTGTTGTTGGAGGATTACGGTGGAGGAAACGTGGTCAAGGAAGTGTAACAAGTGAAGCATCATCTGGCGAAGAGGAAACACGCCCAGTTCGTGAGCGCCGACCACGAAATCACACGCCAGATCCACCCAGACGTATCCTCACACGTTTGGAAAAGCAGCATAGTACCGAGGACGGTACTTCCAGCAGCAGTGGTAATTCGACACCAGATCATCGCCCAACTCGCAGACCTTATAGAAATAGTAGACTGCAAAACATCACTGCTGGGCATAGTGACTCTGATGTCGTAAGCATCAGTAGTAGTATAAGCAGTAGTAATAGTAGTAGCTTCAATACAAGTACAAGTGGCAGTAACACCAGTGCCAGCAGTACTAGTACGAGCAGTAGCAGTACACCAGAACCTGAGTTACCATCTCGACCACCATCACGTAGGGTTGCAGCAGCAGCAGCTCTTAGGCACCAGAAATTAGGCATCCACAGAGCTTCAGGTGGCAAGAGAGGGCCACCTAATAATGGTGCTGCGCGACGACCCTCACAGAGATGGCGTAGTGTATCACCTGTAACCCGTGCTGCTCAGCCATCATCACCATCCTCAACACTTTACTCAAATAAAAATAAAAATAACGAAAATAATAGAAATTGTACCAACTGTGAAGACAATATTGGTAAGAGCCAAAAACGTAAAAATAGCAGCCCAAACAGAGCAGCAAATAAAAATAACAAATGCGGCACTGGTATTGATCTTCCCATTAAAGGGAAGACTTTGCTAGAGGGAAGAACACAATTTTCACTTAAGCAAGATAACAGAAAAGAGAATATCAGAAAGGAGAGTGATACTGCAAATGCTATTAATTCTTCTGAAGATCCTGTTGTAATTTATGAAAAGACTAATTTTAATCAAAATAGAACATTACCAAATAGAAGAACAGTTGAGAATCGAAGTTTGAACAACAAGAAAGGTACATTGAATATAACTAAGGATTTGACAAGTAAAACTATTACCTCACAATTGATAATTAAGAAAGATCCTGGTGAGAGAGTAGCTCCATCCTGTAATAAGTCGTACAAAGAAAAGGAAGAGACTAATTTAAGATGTTTGAAAGATACTAATTCAGCACATTTGAAAGAGACTAATATTACACGTTTAAAAGAGGCTAGTTTAACGTGTTTGAAATCTGCCGGAAAATATGCGTGTTCAGATTCATCTAGCACGGTTCCTAAAGAACTCTCACACAGAAATACCACTGCTGTTGTAGCACCAACAAACAGTTCCACTTTTAATGATGAAGTCTTCATAATTGAACCCAGTAAAGAGGAGTCTGTAAGTTCATCTCAAATAAGTTCAGTAAAAGCAGAGGAAAACTTAAAGAAGCCTGTGATTAGATGTTCAAATAAAGAATTGGTTACAAAAAGTTCAAGCAAAGAATTGGTTACAAAAGAACAGTCATCTGTGTTTTTGTCAAAAGAGGAAAACCCTAGTAGAACATTTCCTTCTAGTTCTTTAATTACTCCTCGGGAGAAGACTAAGGATGAGAATTGGTGCAAATCAAATCCGTGCAAGTCAGAAGCAGCTAGGCCTATAGAAGTCTTGGCAGATTCTGAACGGGACAAGTCTGCATGTAAAAAGCTTCCCAAGACTAAAGAATTGCCCACTAAAGCAGAATTAGAGCAATCTCCCTCGACAGAAAACGTCTCGGCAGAAAGCACTACTATTTGTACCTGTCAATGCAGGAACACTTCCGTTAGGGATTCACTTGTAACTACTACAGCTGTAGCGAGGAAGCCTAGTTTAAGTGAGAATAATGTGGTTATAGAAGCCACGGGTGTTATACGAACAACAGGTGATAGTTCAAGTGCATTTGTTAGCCAGCATGACAAAAGTGTTAAGAGTGCCATTTTGGGCCCTAGTGCCAACAGTGTTGTGGTGAGCAGCAGTATTGCTGCAGTGTGTGACGGAACCACTACAGTGAGCACAGTGTCAACTGTGACTAGTGTGACTAGTGTGTCTATAGTGCCAGGCACAACCAGTGCCATTGTTAATTCGCCCAATGTCAGTGGACTTACTTGGTCTTCAGATAGCTTTCGAGTGAACTCTAGTTGTAATAGTAACCTCAACTGTAGTACTAGTAGAAGTGGGTGTGCAGAGGTGGCGGGCGTGGTGAGCGGGCGGGCAGTCACCATCACAGCAACAAGTGGGCCAGGTCCCACATGCAGTTCTCGTGTGGCCTCCCCACCCTCTGTAAGCATCACGGCAGTGGTGCGTAGCCCTGTCCACCTCCAGCCCGCCAACCCTGATCCTGCCCATCTTGCCCCGCACCATCATGACGTGGCACCCCACACATCCCTGCATCTCCAGCATCAGGCGGCCCATCCATATCACCAACAGCATCACCAACTCCAACATCAGTCACAGCAGCTCAGCACCCCGGCAACAGCCACCAGGATGGACCATTGTGACGGCTCAAGTGACTCTGGTGTGAGTGTAACCGAGCGTTCTGTATCACGCTCATCAGTTCTGAGTGATGACAGGTCATCTTCAGCAGAAGTAAAGCCCAACACACCTACACCTGCAGCTGGTCAAACAAAGATATCACAGGCATCCTCTCTCTTCATAGACCGTAAGGAACCTGTTCGAGTTTGGCGTGATCCATCACTTGTGTCTCAGTCAGAGCACACGGTGCGTCATATTCATTCAGTGCAGCACACCATGTCACAGCACTATCCAGGGGTACCTCCCCCTCACCTTGCAGCTCCAACTGGGGGCTCTGGTAGCTCCCATGGACCTGCACACCATGGCTCACATGGCCAGCCTCCTGTATCTATTGCGCATGGTCTGCCTCCTGGCTTATCGTATTCAACACACCCTGGTGCAGGTGCACCACCACCTTTGCATCTGCCTCCTGGTCTTCAGCAACCTCTTGCTAGCTTATATCCATCTATCGACGTGTGGAAGCAGCTTGCTCCGATACCCCCACTACAATCGCATGCATATGCAGGTCTCCTTACTCACCACCAAGAAGAACTGCTTCAACTAGAACGTGCTCGGGAAATGGATCGGGAGCGTGCTGAGCAGGATAGAATACTTAGGTAAGTAACAAGATGTATTTAAAATGTGGTATTATTGTATAGGTTATTGTAAATTGTACAGTATAGGATGTACAGCAGTATTTATGTGAATAACTGGCTAACGGTAATATACAAGAAGTATGCCATGCAATATTTTTAACAAATATATTCAACGAGAGGCTCTTCACGATTAACAGTGCAGTTTATAGACTTATAAAACAAGATGGAAAAATCATGAAACTGCATTATTAGGTTGCTTTACTAATACTGTAATAGTGAAGCCTGTAAAATATTTCAGAAAGATTTCTTGAATAATTAAATATATAATTATTTATAATTATATAGGCTTAAAGTTGAATTTTTATATTATTGAATGTATTTTATGTTATTGAATTCCTGGTGTAGCCAGGAACTGAAACATACTTAAAGAGTAGGTATATGAAACAGTACAGGGCTTGAAGATCAGTAACTTTATGTAGTCGATAATAATTAAAACTACAGGTTATAAATAGGAGATACCTCGTATGGGCCAATGGTCCTTCTGTAGTTACATTAATTCTTATAGTTGATTGTAGGATTTTAAAGCATATATATCTTGGAAATGAATGTGAGGTTTGTGAATGGATTGGGTAGTTTAGAATGAGATACTAAAGAAAATTATATGAATTGAGTACAGTAGTTAATGAAGTGTTAGGAGCTAAAGTTGTATGGTTTATGAAGGAAAGTGTGAGAGAGGTATCGAGAAAGGTGGGCTCCAGGGTTTGATCGTTTGGTATAATTTGTATGCCATCGTCCTGTATAATAATCAATTTTACATAGGCCTATGGTGGCTACTTACCTACCTTATACTGTAGTAGATCTGGGGTTTAGTGCCCCCCAGTCATTGACCAGGCCTTTTGGCTGAGTAGGTAGTTCATGTTCACCTACAGTGGGACTTTAGGTGCTATCAGCATGATGTAGGCACTGCACCCCAGTTAATCAGGTACCCTGTAAAGATGTTTTATAAAGTTAACTCTTATGGCAAGAAAATGGAGGTGTTCTCGTATAATACAGTGGACCGCTAACATACAAATATTAGTACTTTCAGTGCTTTTTGATAACCTGGATCTAGTTGGTAAATGTCATATCAAATTATGCAAATTGAAAGTATTTAATTATTTTTATTATTTTTATTATTTTTGTTATAATTCATGATGGTTTTCTAGGTCATATGCAGTCATCTATTAAATTCCCTTTAAATTTCAATACCAAAGCCATTTACCAAAGTGGTTTGAGCAGTTTGCAGCCACGTGATTGTCCCGAGTAAGTTATCTAAGTAAGCTTATTGTTTTGCTCTTGTCTGGGAGATTAGACCATCACTCATTATATTGCTGTGTGCTTCAGCTTAGTCATCTAACTTTACACACACACATACACACATACACATATATATATATATATATATATATATATATATATATATATATATATATATATATATATATATATATATATATATATATATATACTGTATATATATATATATGTCGTACCTAGTAGCCAGAACGCACTTTATGGCTTACTATGCAAAGCCCGATTTGCCTAATTAGCCAAGTTTTCCTGAATTAATATATTTTCTCTATTTTTTTTTTCTTATGAAATGATAAAGCTACCATTTCATTATGAATGAGGTCAATTTTTTTTTATTGGAGTTAAAATTAACGTAGATATATGACCGAACCTAACCAACCCTACCTAACCTAACCTAACCTATCTTTATAGGTTAGGTTAGGTTAGGTAGCCGAAAAAGTTAGGTTAGGTTAGGTTAGGTAGGTTAGGTAGTCGAAAAACAATTATTTCATCAAAACTTGGCTTATTAGGCAAATTGGGCCTTGTATAGTAGGCTGGGAAGTGCGTTCTGGCTACTAGGTACGACATATATATATATATATATATATATATATATATATATATATATATATATATATATATATATATATATATATATATATATATATATATATGTATATATATATATATATATATATATATATATATATATATATATATATATATATATATATGTATATATATATATATATGTATATATATATATATATGTATATATATATATATGTATATATATATATATATATATATATATATATATATATATATATATATATATATATATATATATATATATATATATATATATATATATATATATATATATATATATATATATATATATATATATATATATATATATGTCGTACCTAGTAGCCAGAACTCACTTCTCAGCCTACTATTCAAGGCCTGATTTGCCTAATAAGCCAAGTTTTCCTGAATTAATATATTTACTACAATTTTTTTCTTATGAAATGATAAAGCAACCCTTTTCTCTATGTATGAGGTCAATTTTTTTTTATTGGAGTTAAAATTAACGTAGATATATGACCGAACCTAACCAACCCTACCTAACCTAACCTAACCTATATTTATAGGTAAGGTTAGGTTAGGTAGCCAAAAAAAGCTAGGTTAGGTTAGGTAGGTTAGGTAGACGAAAAAACATTAATTCATGAAAACTTGGCTTATTAGGCAATTCGGGCCTTGAATAGTAGGCTGAGAAGTGCGTTCTGGCTATTAGGTACGACATATATATATATATATATATATATATATATATATATATATATATATATATAATGTCGTATCTAGTAGCCAGAACGCACTTCTCAGCCTACTATGCAAGGCCCGATTTGCCTAATAATCCCAGTTTTCATGAATTAATGTTTTTTCGACTACCTAACCTCACCTAACCTAACTTTTTTGGCTACCTAACCTAACCTAACCTATAAAGATAGGTTAGGTTAGGTTAGGTAGGGTTGGTTAGGTTCGGTCATATATTTACGTTAATTTTAACTAAAATAAAAAAAAATTGACCTCATACATAATGAAATGGGTATCTTTATCATTTCATAAGAAAAAAATTAGAGAAAATATATTAATTCAGGAAAACTTGGCTTATTAGGCAAATCGGGCCTTGCATAGTAGGCTGAGGAGTGCGTTCTGGCTACTAGGTACGACATATATATATATATATATATATATATATATATATATATATATATATATATATACATACATACATACACACACACACACACACACACACACAAGGAGCTCGGTAAGAACAAAGCAGCTGGCCCAGATGGCGTTTCACCATGGGTTCTGAGAGAATGTGCATCTGAGCTCAGCATTCCACTTCACCTGATCTTTCAGGCATCCCTGTGTACAGGAATCGTAGCAGACGGGTGGAAACAGGCTAACATAGTTCCAATCTACAAAAGTGGCAGCAGGGAAGACCCCCTCAATTATAGACCTGTATCATTGACAAGTGTAATAGTGAAAGTATTGGAAAAACTAATCAAAACTAAATGGGTAGAACACCTAGAGAGAAATGATATAATATCAGACAGACAGTATGGTTTTCGATCTGGAAGATCCTGTGTATCGAATTTACTCAGTTTCTATGATCGAGCCACAGAGATATTACAGGAAAGAGATGGTTGGGTTGACTGCATCTATCTGGACCTAAAAAAGGCTTTCGACAGAGTTCCACATAAGAGGTTGTTCTGGAAACTGGAAAATATTGGAGGGGTGACAGGTAAGCTTCTATCATGGATGAAAAATTTTCTGACTGATAGAAAAATGAGGGCAGTAATCAGAGGCAATGTATCAGAATGGAGAAATGTCACAAGTGGAGTACCACAGGGTTCAGTTCTTGCACCAGTGATGTTTATTGTGTACATAAATGATCTACCAGTTGGTATACAGAATTATATGAACATGTTTGCTGATGATGCTAAGATAATAGGAAGGATAAGAAATTTAGATGACTGTCATGCCCTTCAAGAAGACCTGGACAAAATAAGTATATGGAGCACCACTTGGCAAATGGAATTTAATGTTAATAAATGTCATGTTATGGAATGTGGAATAGGAGAACATAGACCCCACACAACCTATATATTATGTGAGAAATCTTTAAAGAATTCTGATAAAGAAAGAGATCTAGGAGTGGTTCTAGATAGAAAACTATCACCTGAGGACCACATAAAGAATATTGTGCAAGGAGCCTATGTTATGCTTTCTAACTTCAGAATTGCATTTAAATACATGGATGGCGATATACTAAAGAAATTGTTCATGACTTTTGTTAGGCCAAAGCTAGAATATGCAGCTGTTGTGTGGTGCCCATATCTTAAGAAGCACATCAACAAACTGGAAAAGGTGCAAAGACATGCTACTAAGTGGCTCCCAGAACTGAAGGGCAAGAGCTACAAGGAGAGGTTAGAAGCATTAAATATGCCAAAACTAGAAGACAGAAGAAAAAGAGGTGATATGATCACTACATACAAAATAGTTACAGGAATTGATAAAATCGACAGGGAAGACTTCCTGAGACCTGGAATTTCAAGAACAAGAGGTCATAGATTTAAACTAGCTAAACACAGATGCCGAAGAAATATAAGAAAATTCACCTTCGCAAATAGAGTGGTAGACGGTTGGAACAAGTTAAGTGAGAAGGTGGTGGAGGCCAAGACCGTCAGTAGTTTCAAAGCGTTATATGACAAAGAGTGCTGGGAAGACGGGACACCACGAGCGTAGCTCTCATCCTGTAACTACACATAGGTAATTACACTTAGGTAATTACACACACACACACACACACACTGTACATACCTAGTAGCCAGAACGCACTTCTCGGCCTACTATGCAAGAGTGATTTTCTTTATTTTCAATAAATTGTTTCCTATTGGTTTATTTTAAATATTATTATTATATTATATTAAGAACATAAATTATTGATTTAGTTATGCTAGTTTAGGTTAGGGTAAGATAATTTAAGTTAGGTATATTAGGTATATATTATAATATATATATATATATATATATATAATATATATATATATATATATATATATATATATATATATATATATATATATATATATATATATATATATATATATTAT